TGGCCTTTATAAATGCCTGCAGCATGAAACTGAAAACTTTTCTCCACCATAAATACCCAAGGCCAAAGTAAAGAATGTAGCTCTTCAATAACACTGAGCTCCACTGCTTCCCCACATTTACTTTTCAGAGATTGGAGAGGCTTCTGCAATATCTTAGCATGAACATAAAAAAACTGCATCTAAATTCACTGGTAAAAATCATATTGATCTCTTGTAATTTATTAATGTGATACAAAAATTCTGTTTCAGAGTATCTAGTTAATAGGGCATATACATGCTTTTGTTTCAAAGCTGCATTTTCTCTGAACAAGGTTGTTTCTAATATTACTTAATTAAACAGAATGAAATTAATTTGTCTAAGAAACAAGAAGCAACAGCTTTGTTGAATAAAATGATCTTCATTTTCTTGAAGCTGTTTAAATTAAAAACATGAGTTTCTACAGTTGGAAAAAAACCATCCATGGTTAAAATGTTTGAAGCCCATCAATCTCTTTAACCACACAGCTAATGTGTTCCTTCTGTTTTCTTTGAATGAAATCACCATGAGTGGTTAGATGTTGATTTAACATAAAGCAAATGGAAATGGGTGTTTCCTAGTCATGTGTAGAATTTATTTTAAAAAACAATTAGCAAGTGTTATGAGTAAGTCAATGATTTTGTCATTTCTTAAATAATGATATAGATTATGAGTCATTAAAATTGATTACTGAAGTAAACTATGTCAAATGCAAATTCATATTACATTTATTTGTTAGGAACAGCTGCAGAATTCTCTTATTTTATTGATGGGTTTCATTTTTTCCCAAGCAACACTACAACCAATTACTTAGTTTAAAGGACCAGTAATTGTCAAGATATGTTTCCAAACTTTTAAGACAATACATTGGATATTTCCTCTCATGGGTTGTATCATTCACACTTTATTTATATTAATTTGTCTGCAAAATTAATTAGATATTTTCCTAAATAAAACAAGCAAAATTTTGGCTTTTCAGTGTTGAAATGGTAAAATCATGTAATGGTTTGTTTCTTTTCCATGTACCATGGAAAAAAATCCATGTCTTTATATTACATCAATTAAATTGTGCTTTTATATTACACCAATTTTAGCTGATGCTACTGCACTACATACATAAAACCTCTTCTGTCAGTCATTGCTAACATTACATCTAATTATAAGTTCATTGATACGTTATTCACCGGAGTACATACAGATAAGAGGAAATGTCAGTCGCTAGTATTTAAAGTTCTGTCATAAAACTCCAGTAATAAAAAAATAGATTGCATAAAATCTGTGTAAACCATTTCTCATGGGGGAACTGACGCTTAGGGCAATATAAAATAGTATTTATCAAGATATTAAAGCATTTTAAATTAACCTTTTTAAGAATTGGCAGATGTAAGCTGCAATTCTATGGCAAAAAGAAGAACCTCCTAGTGGAGTTTACAAGATCATATTACAAACATCATAATTTGGCCAACTTTTGCCACCAGTTAAATCATCTTTCTCAGAAGCACCTCCTTCAGGAACACAGCTGAGAGTTAAATCTTTTCCAGTTGTTACTGTCCTACATATAGTTCCTACAGATGCTAACTGATACACTGTTCTTGTGATTGTTTCAAAAATTACTGAGAATTTGCTTTTGGGTTTTCCAGGACATGATCCATCAGGTTCACCAAAGCAATCAGAAGGCAATACACACATAGGGAATATACAGCTTAAAATTAAACATTCCAAAATTTAACATTAGTGAAAGGGATTTTGCTAAGATTATATTTCTTGTGGAGTTTGCAAGCTAGATCTTTAGCACTGTTGCAGCAAAGCAAGATTTTAAGGAAAATCTACGTTCCTGTACTTCCTTGTGGAGTCTGTATGGAATGAGATACATATGGTGTAGCGATATGGCACAAAGCAAATAGTAGTCAATTTTAATGGTGAAAAGAAACTTCATTTGTTATAATTCCTTCTTATATATTAATATTCAAATCTGGCAATAATTGTGGCTGAGTAAAAGCTAAAGGATCAGATTCCAGTATGCCATGGGTGGATTTGTGTACAATTTTCCTGTTTTAAAGAAACAGATGATGATTCACGTGAAGTAAAATTAATCACTTGAAAAATTATATTTTACTTGCCAAAACAATATACACCTATGCCAGGTATGCTCATATCTTAATCCAGATTTAATGAGAATTAATAGAAGCATGTGTTTTTGAAACAAATGCTGAAAGGTCTCTGCATTTTTACCAATTGTTTAAAACTCAGTTTTACAATTTAAGAGTTGTAAGACTTAAAAGAGTTGCAAAACTCCATTTCTGCATGTAGAAAGAAATATAATTCCAGAAGTTTTTGAGGAAAAAGGGGGAAATAAACTTCAGTCCTGCAGTTGAATCCATGTAGGTTAATTCACTTTGACTTGAGCAAATATTAACACAAGGCCTAGCCCTGCAGTTCTTTTCAATCTTTGGGGGTAAAAAAAGAAATTACAGAAACCAACAGGCTTTTTGCTCCAAATAGAAGAATTCCTCTCTCTGACGTCCTCTCAAAGGGAAACCACCAACCACAGGTAATTCTTTTATTCTTGACTGTGTTCTGGCCAAATCCTGCTCTCATCGATGAAGCAAAAGGCTGTCAGCTGGAGGCTATTATTGCTTATCTGCAATTACATTTATCTGAAAAAAAAAAGAAGAAAAAAAACAGACTTGTTAATGACGTGTTTTAAAACACTGGTGAAATGATAGACAACCAACCTGTATATCTTTATATTTCTATAACCCTCTTGTAAAGCATATTTCCATAACAGATGCGTCCAACCTTTTCAATGAAAATCAGTTTATAGTGAAATACATTTATGTGCCTGTATGATTTAATTCCATTAGAAATGCATAAGGAGTTATTTAGGGTTTATATAGGTATCTTTAAGATTATTTTCAGCAAAAAAGGGCAGTTGGCTATACTAGGGTTATACAAATGACTTTAAAAAATAGGGAACTGTGCTCTTTTGCTACATTTGGCTCCCACAGAAACCAATACTTTTAACTTCTAACTATATATAGTAGGCGCAGAACTGTCACATGGACATGTATCTCCTGTTCTCCCATGCTGAGACTGGTTTCAAGGCAGTTTGCAGATTTAACCCAGTTGTAACCAGCCTCAGGAAGGTGCACCGCTCACCGTGGCAGAACTTCTCCTCTGCTTCTCAAAGCCTGGGACTGCTCTTCCCCATCTCAGTCCCTCCACAAGTACTCTGGGCTGAGGAAGGTCAGTGTGGCCATGGTGTGCCCGTATTTCAGTGATTTTTAGATACTAATCCCAAGGAGTATTGCTAACACTGTTGGAAGTTTAATGCAGCTTTAAGAGAGCTGGACCAGCTCTATCCTTCATACTACTTCATGTGGAAAGGTCTCAAGGATCCAGTTCCTTTCAAACACGTAATGTTTCTCATAATGTGTGTTATAATTTTCTAAACAGGAACTCTGCACAGGTATGGACAGAAGCCAAAATAATAAGCTAAAAAATAAACCATTATTATTAACAAAGGTAATGATCCTGATTCCCTGATGTGATGTGGGTTTTTTAAACTGGATTGTCAACACGCTTTGACCTAAGAAGAGTTGGCCAAGCACGGAGTGGTCCTGCCTTGCACATGCGGTTCTGCGGGTGGGTTCAGTTCGGAAGCATTCCATTCCAGTGCTGGAGCTGGAGAAGGGAGGGGATGGCTAAGCCCGTGCATGTGTGTGGGTGTCTTCAGGCCCGCTCTGCGCAGCTTTGCTTGATGCCCTCCCCTCCGAGGCTCCTGCGACACCTCGCAGAAGCACAGCCCCGGCGGTGTGGGGCTGCTTCCCGCCCCCCCGGCTTGGAGCTGTGCACGCCGCTAGTCCTGGAAGGTCAGAGCTGGTCCTCGGTGCTTTGCATCAGTACAGCGGGAAAACTCCCCATCCCACCAGCGACCCCACACCATGGTTTCAAAGCCCAGGTTTTTGAGAAGAACGCAGCCGCATTGCTGGACAGTGTTCTGTGCTCGAGCGCAAGAATGAGTCAACTGCGAACCCTTTCAATCGTTTCCAAGCGCCGCTTCCCCTGTCCTGACATGTTTTCCCTAACGCACAGCCTCGCTCCGGAGCGCCGTACCTACGAGTGCCGCGGGCGGAGCGGCGCAGGAGCCGCGCTGGGCAGGCAGCTGCCTCGCAGCTGCGGTTCGAGGACGCGAAGGGACAGGGACGGGGACGGGGACGGGGACGGCAGAGCCGCGAAGGCGGCGGGAGCAGGGAACCCCCTCTCTCTCCCCAGCTCGGCTCTCCGGGCCTAGTGAATCATTTTCGGGCGCAGACAAGGAGGGCGGGGGCACCCGCAGCATTGCAGAGCGTTAGCAAGGCCCGGGCAGCACGCACCGCGCAGCTCCTGCCGCCCAAGTTCGGGTACGCGGTCGCGCAGGAGGATACTGCCTAGGAGAAAGCACGGCGGGGACGCCTGCCGGCCTGCAGCGCGCCGACACCCGCCGGCCAAGGACGAGGGGGCGGCTGTAGGGCCCAGGCCCAGAGATCGGCCAGCACCTGGGCGAGAGGCGCCGGGCAGGAGCTCCCAGCTGCTCCGCGGCGGTGCGCGCCTTACAGCAACCTTGGCGGTGGGGCGGGAGTGGGCAGCCTTGGCGCGCAGCCGGTGTGCTCGGCCTTTGGTGCCGAGCAACCAAGCGTTCGTTATTAGCCTTCGCCCCCCAGCTGGAAGAAGGGGTGGGGGGGAAGGAAGGAAGGAAGGAGGGAGGGAGGGAAGGAAGGAAGGAAAAAGGCACGAAGGAAGAGATTTTTGCCCTTCGCTGGGGCTGCTCTACGTGATAATATGTTTATATGATTAGCTGAGCCAGGGGTGGGAGAAGGGGTGGAGATTGGAGGGGGAGGAGGCTGGAGGTGACTCCAGTTCAGAGCCGGTGGAGAGTCTGTGTCAGGACTTCGCAATCCCCAGTCACACACGGAGAGGTGCATGAGCAAAAGGGAGGCTGCGATACAATTCATTGGGATTTTTTTTTTTTTTTTTTGGTGTGTATGTATTGCGTTTTTCCCATTGCTGCGCGCGTTACAAGCTCAGCGCCCGGCGCCCGGTCTCCAGTCGCTGGCGGGGCAGCAGCACCGGGAGGAAGAGGAGAAAATCCGCGCAGGGGCCGGACCCGCACCCCGCCAGAGGCCAGAATGCCATCCTGGGAGATGTAAATCCGATCGGTGCGAGCGAGAGACACGGAGGAGGGGGGGTCCATTGTAACATTCTTGAGTTGTTCCCCGCTACTCTTGCTGCTGCCATCGCCTCCTGATCCTGCACAGAACGGACTCCAACGGCTGGGCACTCGCACTGCGCCCGGCTCCCCCCTCCATTTCGTTGTTTTAAAATTGAATTTGTATTTCTTTTTGTGCCTCCGTGCCGGAGCCTGGCTACATCGTACGTTTCATGCGGAGCGGAGCGTCCGGAACTGCAGGAAAATGTTGACTTAGCCCCAGCGAAGCCTCCCGGCTGGCTGCGTGGAGGAGAAGCCGCCTCCCGCTCTGCGCTGCCCCGGCCCGCCGCGCCGCAGCGCCGGCTGCCTCCCGTTGTCCGCCCGAGCCGGCCGCTTGCCCGCCTGTTCCCCGCGCAGCCGCCAGCGGAGCCCCGGGACTAAGTCCGCCGCGTTCTCCCGCAGCCCTGCGCTCGGTGGGGGACTCGACCCGCGGGTCCCGCCAGGGCGAGAGATCTCAGCCCGCCTTCGGCTCTCAGACAGAGGTAAGCGGAGCCCCGCGCTGCAGCCTCGCCGCCCGTTTCTGCCGGCGGCTGCTCCCTACTTCTGGCGGTTCCCACCGAGCCGCCAGCGGGGAAACACTTAAGGCTCTGCCTCGCCTGCCGGTGTCCCCCACCCCCTCCTGTTCCCTCGGGGTCCGTTGGCCGCCGGCGGTGGAGCGGCGTACCCCTCGTGAGGCCGCGGCCCTCGGACGCGAGCAGCGCGGCGCCGCCGCAGCACCGCCGCTCTCAGCCCGCCTGCACCCCCCCCTCCTTCCCCCCCCGAGCCCTGCGGAGGGGCCTGCGGCAGCGGTGGCCGGTCCCCGCTGCCCGTGGTCCCCCCGCCGCCCCATGGTCCCCCCGCCGCGGGACCGCGGGCCGGGGTCCTCCCGCAGAGCAGGCCCCAGGGCGGTTCGGTGCTCCCCGGCGCGTCCCGCGCAGCGGGGAAAGTTGCATCCGTTCAGTAAATAATTACCTGTTGCGGGGTTTATTTTTGTAACTCAGCCGGCGACCGTCCGGCAGCCCGTGCCAGGTGGGGGGTGGCCTCGGGAGGAGGAATAAATTACCCTTTGTGGAGTGAGAGCAACTTTTTTTTTCTTTTTTTTTTTTTTCCTTTCTATTTCTATTTATTTTCACATGTAGAAATCTGGGGCCATCTGGAGACAGAAAACAGAGTGTGTCATGAGGCACCGTTGCTGTGTCTGGCTCTAAAAATAACATCTTGTTGTTAGTCTGCGCTAGCCCTGCTGGGGTTTGAACGTGGTTTCTCAGAAAGTAAAGAGAGCTGCTGGTGCTCAGGTGTGTTTTCCTTTGCATAGAAATGCCCCTGTGCGCTACGGAAGGAGTCCTGCAGAACAAATGTTCTGTTGTTTGCTTTCCTCTGACGCTCCGGCTCCTTCCTTTTGTTGCCTGCCACGAAAAGAGGTGCCATTTCGCATCATTCTGCAGAAATTGTTTGAATTAATGCAAGTGTGAATTCTTACCGTTTGAAGGAGGACATTAGCATATCAAAGCTTTCTCAGCTCCGGCTCAATTGAGAAAACTTCAGCCTGTCTTCCATTTGCTTCCAAGCAGAGGCCCAAAGGGCAGTGGGAATTGTAAAGGGGTAAAATGGGGAGGTGGATTTGGGTGATGTTTCTGAACTTTCGCTGTTTTGCAATTATGCGAGTGAAACCCAAGGTCCCTTCGCTGCAGAGCCCTTGCGAGCGCTCGGACAATCGCACTCTATTGATTAATAGTTTGTTCCGAGGGGAAGAAAGTGACCTTTTATGACAGGCACTGTTGCTTGGTGTCTGATGTCTGCTCGCTGTTAGGGGGATTTAGAAAGCCCTTTCTCCCGCACTTATGCCCTGGGTATGGCCTACACGTTACTGCGTGCGGGGACTGAATGGGGAAGACCTAATTACTTCAGAAAACAAATGAAATCTTGTAATAAAAGACCTCTCGGTTCCAGACCTTTGAAACAAATACGCTCCCCTCCTTAATGGGTGGGTAGGCTGGAATAATAGATATTTTTATGGGGAGTTTTAAAAGAAGTTTTATCACCACCGGCCATATGCTTACATTTCCTTTTTATCCTTGAAGAAGTGAAAATGAGTAATTTTTGTAATCTCATTTAATCAGTGATACTGTGTTTACTAAGATAACTTAATTTGCGGTTAGTATTACCCTATAGTAAATAATTCGAAACAAAGTATGGCAGAAGTGCTGTTTTGGTGGCTGTGTAGAACATCTATCACACAGTAATTGTTCTACGTGACTACATATTTGTAGGGTTTATTCTTTTGTTACTATTTCCTTGAGTCTGAAAGGGGATGTGGCCAGGCCTACCCATTTATTATCTTTGCAAATCAATATTCATAATCCAGCCACACAAAAACCAAGCAAAATCCAGTTATCTGTCAATATTTTGGGACCTTTTCCAGGGACCAGATGTTTCTTGGGGACTGTATTCTGGTTTATATCTGGCAAAAAAAAGAGCTTCCTATGCCTGCCTTGCGTATTATTCCTTCCTTCGAAGCCTTTTACTTGAATGGTGCAGATACTAAACCATACGTTTTGTGTTTTTAAAAAGTTGGTTTAAGTAAGTGCTTGGTAGACAGCACTTGGTGTTTTTTTTTTTGTATCCCCCCCGTCCCCCCCCTTATGGTTTTCCATTTGGTGGCTTGGGAGAGTCGTGAAAGTGATGTGCCCTTAGAGTAGGATGTCTTCAGTCATGTTTCAGTTTCCTTTCATTTAATGATGGAACTGAGTATATATGGTATGTCTTGGTGAAAACCCTTGCAATTAATTAAATAATTCATAAAGATTTCTGTTGTTCCTAAATGGACGTGACCATTTGGGCATTCTGTAGACAGATGTGTTTAGTGGTCCTAAAATGCGTGTCATTACTTTCAGGTAAATTTCAGCGGTTTATTTACCTAACATCTTTGGCTGTCTGCAGTAGTGGTGGTGTAAAAGGAACATATTGATGTAATTGCCATTATCACACTTAAGTTGCTATTAACTAGTCTGCTTTGAATACAGAATGTTATAAAGAAAGTGCATTATCCTTCCAGCTATTCGGGATAATCTGAAAATTGTCTTGAAAATGTTGCACTTAGGTTTATATCATGGCAACCCCAAATTCGGCAGATCTATAAAGAAAAAACATATAGTAGAAAGAAGATTTCAATATTCAAATGACAAAATCGGACCACTTAGAGAAAAATTAATGTGCTGCAGCAGCACTTCAGCTGCCATTTTCAATCACTGTGGGTTAGTGTGTGTTGGCAACAGCAAAAAAGTATAGACATTCAGATAGGTCAGGGAGCTGGTTAGCTGGGGAAATCGGGATATTGAATCATGTGGGGTAGAACAAACCAATTACTTCAGGTTTTGACTTGAGAATTTCCAGTAAACTTTTTTTTTTTTTTTTGGCTTTTGGCTCCCCTGCTCATTAATAGACCAACATCAAAGCAGGCAACCAAACTTCCAAATGTTATAAAAACTAATGTAAAGATACAGATCTCACATGTAGTCTTGCAAGTCTTAATTTAAGACAAGCAGTTGGAGTTTTTATTGCTGCAATTTTCACAATCAGCAGAGACATTAACACTAGGCTTCTGGGTGTTTCCCTTCTTAAAATGAGCAAGAGGAGAGCTTTAAAAAAAAAACCAAACAACAACCCACCAAAGTTTGCTTAGTTCTTATTTGATCACTTCAGAAGCTTTCTCAATGCTTTATCTTTTACTGCTTTTAATGTGTAAAGTCAGGAAAGGGGGTGACTCATGAATTCTAGTTTCTAGTAAGGAAGCACCTTATGAACATTTAAATAAGCTAATTTAAATACCTAAGACTGGTATAGTCTTAGGAGTTTGTAGTCTTTGTGGTTGTTAATATGATTAATCTTATTCCTGAAAATGCAGTATATAGACATGGTGTTTTGATTAATGTATTTTTTTTTTTTAATGGAAGTAGTTTGATGAATCAAAATGCTACAGTCATGAGTGACAGGTTTTTAGAATGGTCCAGTATTGTCACCTAAGGATGTGGAAAGAGAAGTCTCTAGTCAGGCAAAATACTTAGATAAGTTATATTTACAATACGATTTTATGTAGCATGTCATAAATTGATACAAATAATAAAAACCATTCAATATAAATAATTGTTTAATGTTTAGGGAGGATAGAAATGTAAGCTTTTACTGTAATTTGGTCTAAAAAGTTTATGTATTTCCTAAGCCCTAGCTCATCCCGTGTCCGGCTAATATGATGACATACATGTGAGAAAATACCGTTAACTTAGAGTATGGCTCTTGCTGAGGATAGCACTATGCCTTAAATAATGAAGAAAAACACTTGGAAATGTTTTATATGAAAAAATGCTCTATGCCTCCTCTGCATTTCCACTGAGGAATATCTGTGAATGACTGCTAATACAAGAACTGAAGTAATGATTAATGGTTTTACCTGGTCAGCTGCAAGACAACAAGTTAAACTACATCTGGTGTATTAATTGAAATCATATTCTTGCATAGGTGGAAAAGCAGTCAGTTATAAAGCAATATACTTTAGAGCCTAGGCTAGCGAAATTCCATGTCAGACATGTTACTTGGGGATGTTATGTTAAACAGACTCTTTCGAAGCATTTTTCAGGATTGATGTTTCTGATGTACAAACATGATTTGGAATTGCAAGAAATTCACCTTTGTAAGTATTTATGTGCAGCTTTTAAACTTAAATGCTATCTGTTATTTTTTTTTAAAAACCCTCAATTTGAAACAAAAAGATTTAAACCATCACGGTTGTAGTTGGAAGTCAGGAAAGCTGGAAAAACAAAAGCTATTTTAAGGCCATTCTCAGTATAGTCATGTTTAATATTTAAATACTTTTCAAAGATAGCTGCATTTTTTTTCCAACAGCTCTTAAAATAAGAGGAGTAAGTGTCTCTGTTGCAATATTGGTAACTTGTGATTTAATGTGAATGTATACCTGGTCTAGAAAATACTGCCAGTGTTCAGTTAACAAGTGTGATTCTTTTTAACATTCTTCATTAAAAAGTGAAAGATGACAGGCTTAAAGCCCTTTTCAATACATAATTTTTTTGGAGTTCATGGTTTTGTTTTTTTTTTTCCAACCTGTATGAGATGTGTTTCTGCAGCATGGGGTCTGAAGATTGTGTCGCTTACTGTAAACGATTCAGTTACAGAAATACACTTGCTTAAGGTCTTACAGTATTCTCTACATACAAACTGATAATTAACTAGAAATTCATTCGGGGGGGGGGAAGCAACAAACCTACAAATTCAAAATTGTAACATCTCCAGGTTATGGATCGTTACATTAAGTGGAGTATTTTATGGGTTTTAGAAGCATGTGTAATCTGCATATGACATGATTTCTTCCTTTATGATTTTCATAAGGTATTGTAATGATTTGACTTACTGTAGCCTGCTGTTTACCCAGATTATTTAGAAAGGCGTAACAATCAAAAACATTGCAGCCTGACTGAAGCAAGCACAGTGCTTAACACCTGCAGGTAGAGTGCAGTCTCCAACAAAATGCTATTGATTGTTGTCCTGGCACAAAGCAAGCTTAAATGCAGTTTGCTTAATTATAACAAATATTCATTTTTATGAGTAAGGTACTTCATGTTTAGGGAATATTTTGTGTGTTGTCTGCTAAATAAAATCCCATCACAGTTGTATAAATTTGTTCAATTATCAGAACAGCTAAGAGGAAGAAAAAAAAATCAATTTACCCTGAAAAGCACCAGAAATAAGATTACCTTGGCTAGTAGGAACTTGCCAGCACTGTCTAAATTGCTTAATATTATCAAACATTGCCATTTTTCATGTTCAGTAAGAAGGATATTGACTATTCTATATGTCCAGGTCTGCTGTTTGGCTATTTCTTTGAGATATAAGCATGTCCTATTTTTATTCCTACAATAGCAGTTACAGTTAAATCAGAGGACCTAACAATAACTTTATAAAATAGATGGAATAATACCATTCACTGAAGAAATAGTATTTACTTGAGATAAGTGATCACAACTATTTTTTTCTGCTCTCTAGCTTGTTGTTCTTGTAACAGACAAATGTAAATACCTTAGCAGACATTTCAGACTGAAAGGCAAGAGATAAAATGTAATTACTTTTCAGGGTGGCCCTGACAATGCAGTATTCTTGTCTGTTATACAAAAAAATGATCTTTGCTCATCACCTCAGAGTATGAAGGCCATTGTTACTTCTGAATATAAAA